CTTGAGCCACAGGCGCCGAGCCCAGTATCATGTCTTCAGAAAAGCTTTCTCCAAGACAATTGTCCCCAGCTAACAGTGTACCCTACTTATTTCTTTCTAGAACATATCCCCACTTGAAACTTATTTGCTTACATCTAATTTTTTTCTGCCTGCTGTGTTAGTATATGCATTTCAAGAAGGCAATCTCCTTGTCTGTCTTGTTTTCTATTGTATTTCTAGCTTCTGCATGCCTAGCATATGTACTATATATGTGAGTGTATGTTTGTGTATTGAATATATATTTCCTTTAGTATTGGAAGAGTGGGCCCTGGTGACTAACCTATTTTATCTTATTCCCTGATTGCAGTGTTATTGTCCCAGTCAGATTCTGAACTATTTCTGGGTATAAGGTATATCTTACACATTTTCTATTCACTCTCAGCACCTAATAGGTGCTTAGTGGACACTGAATTGAATTGACATGACTTTCAAGATCTATGTTCAGTCTTTTGACAATGCCTCAGAGAAGATGATTACCATGTTCACCAGCAGAATATTCACAGATGTAGAGACAACTGGGGTGGACTGACCTTTCACGTGTCTCATGTTTTCAAAAGGGTTCTCAGAAGCCTGTCATTCTCAGTCTTCCTGGCGGGAACGTGAAGATGCTTAAAGAGCGTCCAGGGATGGCAGAAGAGCCTCAGCAGCAAACGAGTGTTCCTGTGGTGAAACTGGAGAAAGAGTTGCCATGGGGCCAGACCAGGGAAGACTCTAGTCCTGAGACTTTTCGTCTGAGATTTCGGCAGTTCCGCTACCAGGAGGCAGCAGGACCCCAGGAAGCCCTCAGGGAGCTCCAAGAGCTCTGTCGTCGGTGGCTGAGGCCTGAGTTGCACACTAAGGAGCAGATCCTAGAGCTGCTGGTGCTGGAGCAGTTCCTGACCATCCTGCCCCGAGAGTTCTATGCCTGGATCTGGGAGCATGGCCTGGAGAGTGGCAAAGCCCTGGTGGCCATGGTGGAAGACTTGACAGAGAGAGCTCTGGAGGCCAAGGCGGTGGGTGAGAAGGGGGATCCAGGTCTTGTGCTGTTGGCATGGGAAGGGAGTTTTTAAAGAATTGGAAGATTTGATTAAGCAGTGTGAGTGGATGAGGCATAGAATCTCTGTAAGGGCTTTTTAGCATGAAAAGCCTTTCCGGGGAAGATACTGGGGTACAGGATACAGAAAAGCCTGAAGCCTCTGTTTGGCTACTAGTGCAGAGGCCTGGCCATGTTTACTTTGTGAGTGTCAGGCATAAAGAAGGCATCGTGACCGTTTAGGGTCACTCATGAAAACGGCTCCTGTTTGGGCAAGATGCCTGTGGGATTGGCATCCAAGATGCCTCTTGGTGAATATTCTTAAGAATATCCTGAGAAGAATTGTCCATAGCAGTGCTGTTTCTGTGTCTGAGATGTTGGCTTATAGGGCTCCTGTAATGATTTGGTGGTGCTGTTCTCATGACACCAAGTGACTGTGTCACAGATGTTTCCTCGGACTTTGGCTATATTTCTGTCACTTTGGTACAATCACCCAAGGGATGGCTGGGAAAGGAGATAGGACTGATGTTACTGTGTTGCTCACAAGTCCCAGTCATTTCACAGATCAGCTTCCCTTCCATACTTTTGTCACCCTTGACTTCCTGCCTTCCTAGAGAATTCTAAGAGAATTTTTTTTTCTCTTCCCAACTCAGAAGCTTAAAAGCAGATGGGGAAAGAACCTTGTTTTTGTGAATGTGTCTCAGTGTAAGGGATTTTCCTTGTGCTTTTAAAGTAACTGTTTCTACCTAGTTCTTTTTTTTTTTTTTTTTAAAGAGATAGAGTCTTACATTATTGCCCTCGGTATTTTTAGCTTTTGTAGTGGGAATTCTTTTTTTTTTTGCCAGTAGTAAGTGCTGAGTTTCTAGCACAATACACTCATGCTGGGCTTTCTGTGATGTTATTCATGATAAAATTTGATCAATATCAGGCAGGTAGAAGAGACCCTTTTTCAAATGGCATGGACAGATAAAAGTTGCTCAGGGCCTGATGAAGGAAGTTTGGCTTCCTTTTCACTTCCTCGCTGATGTGCTAGGGAGGAGCTCATCTTGGCTTTCCCGTAAAACTGGAATGGTTCTTTTCTTGATTTTCTTTTTAGGTTTTAATTCAACTCCCTTCATAACAGCCTTACCCAGTCCTCATTCTAATTGGTATTGGGGACTATTCTTAGGTTCCATGCCACGTGCAGGGAGAACAGGAGGAGACAGCACTTTGCAGAGGTGCTTGGGAGCCAGCTGTCCACCTGGGGCCAGTAGAGATCAAGCCTGAATGGGGGATACCCCATGGAGAAGGAGTTCAAGGCCTAGACCAAGGCACTGGGGAGCACCTTAATCAGAACACTGGAGACGGGGCTCAAGACTTCCAGGAGCAGGGTAAGATGCAAACAGTGATCACGTAAGGGCACAGAAAACTGCTTTGCAGCCTATCCCATTACCTCATCCTTCAAAAACCCAGCGATGGTTAAACAAAGTTACTTGCAAGTGTAATTCAGAATTATTTCCTTGACTTTGGTAGGAAATAGATGAAGTAAAATTGTTTCCTCTACCTAGACTCTGGTTTCTGGAAGGGATATCTGGGATCATGCTCTCTTTATTGTTTTTCTCTTCTCCTTCCACTGAGATCCTTTCTAGAAACCATCAGGAAATATTCAGCTGACACATGGGAATAGTTTTAAAGCGTGCAGATAAATCATATCTCTCAAAAGAATATATGACTTTATTTTGTTACTGACTCATGAAGGAGCTTATTCCCAGAGTACTACTAAGGAACATGAGAGGCCAGGGCTGGGATGGTCTTCCCAGCTGAGAACAGGGTGGGGGACACCCCTGTGTGTGGGATAGTGTGATACCAAATTGATTCTATCTGGAATGTCCTAGTTCCTGTGGTTGTATGTCAGGTTGGGGATACCTTTGAACAAGCTAACTGCATGACAGTGTTAATTCTTGTGCTTTTTTGTCCCTGCTCAGCCCTGCCCATTCTTCAGGGGGGTCCTGGCCTCCCCCAAGTGAATACCAGAGATCAAGAGATGGCAGCTGGGTTCTTTACAGCTGGATCTCAGGTGAGCTGTGACTGTGCCTTTCTAGAGATCATGTCATTGTTTTTATCAAGGTTCACTTTTCCCAAGGTTTCTCCACACAATAACGTGCCTGCTACCCCCCAAAGTTGAGTCATTCTGTTTTCTAGTCCTGGTGGACCTGATGGTATCATTTTCCCCTCCGTATCACTATCTCCAATTGAGCCTTATCTCTGGACCTTAAGCCAAGATTGACTTGCTGGTGTTACTTTTATAATTGTGAAGAAGATGAGATTATTGATAGAAACCCCACAGGACTATTTAGACTGTGATGGTAGGCCCTGAGATAAAGATCCCCTTTGTGTGGATGCTCTTTGTGGATGCTTCTATTGCTGCTGTTCCTTTGGACACCCCCACCCCATCAGTAGGAATGTTGTTGACCCAGGGTTGGGGCTCCCAGAAGCACTGAGCAGGGTGGTCTCTTTGGCCTACATAGGCCATAAGAGGAATTTAGGCCTTAGTTTGTTGACACTTATCCCTCAGAAATGGGGGTAACTGAGGCATAGATGGAGCACTCACTCTTCTACAGGGTGCTGAATGTTACCAGGGAGGTGGGGGGGGCTTCCAGTGGGGTACCTTAAGGGGACAAGTATTAAAGAATTTCCTGAAGAAGAAAAGGTGCTATTTGAAAAAAGTAAGTCAAAAGTAAGACCTAGCAGAAGCTGTATTTAGGCAAGGTTTGATGCCAATGTCATTTCTCATTCCTCTCTTCTCAGGACATAGTTTAGAAGGGCTGGGAGATGACATCGTTATTTTTTTATTTAGCCAGACCTTTGCTGTCTGCCATGATAGTTACTCATGACATAGTGAATGGAAAAATGAGAATGCATTTGTTTTAATGTGGCATTTTTCTTAAGACAGGTCTTGCCTCAGTGTGAACTTGCCTTTTAGGAAAAATTAGTTCTAGATGAGATGGTAAATAGCTCCCAAGCTCTGTCAAGCTTGAGGTGTGAGTGGAAGTGATTGTAGAGTGGAAATGGGGTCCTACAGTTGTCAGGGGCAAGCTGAAATGTCACAGCTCTCATTGAACTATTGGGAGGTAGGTAGGTGGTTGTGCTCCCAAAGCATAAGGGAAGAGGATCTTTCAGTCATCTTGCTTTGCTCTTCCCTTGTTTCATCCTCTTTTTTGTCTCCTGCGTTCAGACTGTTCCTTCTTAGAATTCTTTATTTAGTCATAGCAATCTCTTTCTGTTTCAGGGGTTGGGACCATTTAAGGATATGGCTTTGGTCTTCCCTGAGGAGGAGTGGAGACAAGTGACCCCAGCTCAGATAGATTGCTTTGGGGAATATGTGGAACCACAGGACTGCGGGGTATCTGCAGGTAAGACTGTGTTTCTGTCCTACAGGTAAGAAACTGAGGAGTTTTGAAAGCTCAGATCTGAGTTTCTGTCCTATCCCTGGTATGACTAGCAAAGGATTTCATGGGAGACAAGTGAATAGGTTCCAGAGGAAAGAATGTGGCTTAAGGGGTGGCTGGGTGCATTCTTGTATGGGGAGAGGATCCAGAAGATGGAGCAGGAAAACATGAGGCCATTAGTCTGACTGCAGTGAGATAGGCCACTCATTAGTATCCCCAAATATGTACTATGTCCAAGATTGAAGGGTGCTGAGTGCTTGAGAACAAGAGAAAGACAGCAAAAGAGGGAATGTCCGATCTTGTCCATTTGGTAGATGTTTATGAGCAGGTCTGATGGTAGTAGCTCTGTGTTGGGGCAGGAAATGGTCAGGACTGATGTTCATGAACCTGTGGGAGCGCATAGTATGTGGAAGTGGAGGAGAGAATGAGGATGCACAGTGGGAGCTTAGCCATGGGAGGGGCTGGTATAGGGTGGAGGCCCAGAAAAAGCAGAGCCTTGCTGCCCTCAGGTGGCCAGGTTTGACCTGGGGTCAGAGCCTATGAGGATGGAGTTGTCTGGTGAGTGACAGCCGCTCAGGAGGTGTGCAGGGTGAAGGCCCATGGAGCAGCCAGCAGAGGGCGCCATGGGGCTTGGGGCCAGCCAGAGCACAGTGTAGGTGGAAGGAGGAAAGCTCTGTGGTGGGAACGGCCGTCTCCTCCTACCCCTGAGTCTTTACTTTTTCCTTTCATAACTTTTTAAAAAATTTTATTTACTTACTTAATTTATTTTCTTTCATAAATTATGAGTTTTGCCCTGCTCACCCCTCTGTACTGACTCCACCTGGCCTTTCCTCATTTTGAAATTTATCCGAGATAAGCAAGAGAATCATTGTATTTCTTCCAGGACACTAGAGAATCCATCCTGACTTGACCACTTAACTAACCATGACTTTGGGCATCTTCAGCTTTTCACGTGTAGTTTTCCTTGATTGTGAAATGGGGCTGTTCATAGAAGACAGCCTCATGGCACTGTGAGGATGATAGGAGATAATCTGTCTACATGTGTGGCAACCATGGTGGTGTTAGATTATTTTATGAGTTGTAGAAATATTAAATGATTCTTTTAGAGTTGGCATTTATTACTTATTTACCCACAAAGATGTGTTTGGCACTTACCATGTGGCCAGTACTCTGCTATCACTAAAGATATCACTAAAGATGCCTCTAGCATCTCACAGTTCAGGTGAAGAGGCCAAGTGCCTTTAGTGATAGTTATTATGGAGTAGGGTAAGGAATGGGGGTGAGACCAGGGTACAGGGCAAGGTTGTCACAGCATGACAGTGACATGAGTGACCAAAAGATGCCTTACATAGAGAAAGGATGTGTGATGCTGCAATGGCAAAGGAGGCAAAAATCCTCAGGAATAACTGCACAGATCAGGGACTCCTGTGACATGCTCCAGTTGGAGGTGTCAGATTTCTGCTGCTGTGAGCTCCTTCAGGGAGCTACCTCTGCCAGTGATGGTACTGTGTGGGCTAAGGATTCTGCCTTCCCATTCTCAAAAGTATTTTCACACCCTCCTGGCTTTTCTGATTATTCTAGAGTCTTTGGTTCTATGCTTATTTCTTACCAGCTTAGTGTTTCAAAACAACCCAAGCACATGCCTGGGCTTTTCTGCTGAGGCACGGTGATGGGACTGCCCATTTCCCAAGTGTTCCATCTCTTAGCTGTCCCAGCCTATGGGTCTTCCTGAAGTTCATTCTCATGTCATCCATCTTTTGTGTTGACAGCTAGGTGTTGGATTTGAGCTGCTTCATTGGTAAAGAGGACAGACAAATGTGGGAAAGGTTGGGCTAGTTGGTTTCTCAGATCCCTTGGTTCCCTCAGTTCTTGGTCTGTGCTCATTAGAGAAAAATTAACTGCAAACTTTGTGGTCTATGTTGTAATCATAGTAATGGTAATAAGGAGGGTAGAGATATAGGTCTGGGCTGGAGTAGGAATTTAAAAGATAATTTAGAATCAGAGAGACAAAGGGTAGTGTGTGTATATGTAAACTTGAACATGAATCTGTCACCTGGATCCCAGGATGGCGAAGGCCCTGGGGTGAAAGATGAGTGTTCAGAGGAATAAGAAAGGTTGGGATAAGTAGAGTGAGACCAGCCATTATGACTCTGGCTACTTTGTTTTAAAAATTTCCACCTCAAAGTAATGTGATGGAAGCTTTAATTGAGGAAAGTTGAATTGGGGGCAGTGTATCTTCATCCTGGAGGGTTGAAGTAACTTAGGTAGGAGCATAAGAGCAGGAACCAGGCTGATGGCTGTGAAAGAAAGGGGTTTACTGAAATCTAAGGATTGTCACTGATTGGCCAGAGCAGAGGGAAAAAAGTCAAAAAGGAGTCTAAGATCCCAGCTAGGGACTAGAAGAATGCTATTACTGTTGTCAGAAAGGGAGGGAAATATTTTCCTGAGGGAGAGGGAGAAGGGAGGGTTCCATGTGTTGAGTTTGGGGTCCAAGTAGAGGGAGAAGTTGGAAATCATGTACCTGACCTGGGAGCTAAAATAATATCACCTACTATTGTATATCAGCCCCATGTATACAGTAGCTTTTGTGAGTGTACAATCCATTTTGAAGGTGAAGATTGTAATGCTTAGGTTAATTGATTTTTGCATGATCCCACAGTAGTTGAGTAGCCAATGCAGCATTCAAAACCATTTTCCTTTCCACTACTGAATCGTTCTCCCAGCGTGTCTATTTGTGTTTAGCTATTTCATTGTATTTATTATCCCTCAGCTTTATATTTTGACTTTATATTGTAAAAATTTTCACATGTACAGAAAAGCTAAGACTAGTACAGTAAACACACCTTTATCTAGATTCAGTAATTAACATTTGCCATAGTTATCTGTAAAACGTGTGTATGTGGTTTTGGAAGGATTTGGAAGTTGGGGATATCTTTATCTTTCATTCTTAAATACTTTAACATGTGTCTGCTAACATTGACATCCCAGTGTAATCCAGTGTTATAATTTTACCTGAGAAAATATATATAATATTTAGTGCATATTCAGACTTACCCAGGAGCCAGTTAAGTTTCATGCACAGCATTTAGTTTCAATTTTACTATTTACAACAGCTCCAAACTGGAAACTACTCAAACAAACATCAGATTAGTAAATAGATTGTGATATAGTCCCATAGAGGAATGCTATACACCAGTGAAAAAGAAAACTCTAGTTGCAAATCATGATGTGGGTGAATTTCACAAACATAATATTGAGCAGAAAAAGCCAGAAACAACAGATGATCAATTACATAAAGCTCAAGACTAAAGAGTGTGCATAGGATGTTTCCCTTGGCAGCCAGAGTATAGTAATAGAGTGGATGAAAGAGGGACTTCTGGGTGCTGGTTATGTTCTGTCTCTTGAATTAGGTGCTGTTCATGCTGTGGGGTTTGTTATAAAAATTCTCTGAGCTCTGCCTTTATGTTTTGTACACTTTTACTTTGATGAAGGTTTACAGAACTAAAGAGTTAAGTGTGAGATAATCTCTGTGTATCTCATATTTTATTGAAGGAGACGGCACATAAATGTTTCTTTTTACTTTCTCACAGACTAGCCTGAAAGGACTCTTTCCTCCCTTAAGTGCCCCTTGTCATTTGTCTTTTTCTCTTTCTTTCTTCTCTTGGCTTCTTTGCTCCCCAGTACCTCTTCTGCTCTTTTTTTGTTCTTTTTCCCCTTATTTTTCTAGAAACAACTTTTCTCTTAATTTAGAGAGAGTGGAAGACGGATCAGAATGAGGACAGAAGGGTCAAGCCGAGCATTTCAGTAACACCTGGCCCTTTCAGTCCTGATAAATATGTTTACATAAGGGCCATCCACTGCAGGAGCTTCAGTGATAGGCTAGTTGCATTTATTTTTCATCAGCAGATAACAAGCATCTTCTCTCTGTCAGTCCTCTGCCAGGCTCCCAGGAGACCTGGATTAAGGACCCTGATTAGGGGAGGGAGTGTGTAGGCATGGATAGGGACCTGAACTCCTTGTGGGGGATCTGGAGGGTTGGAGCAGGTGTATAATCACAGAGGGAAGGCAGCCATCTGGATGAATGGAAGTTAGCATTTCCAGAAAGGTCACCTGGAAATAAATGCAGAATAAAACATGCTTATTGAGTATATCAGTGCTGAGGAGACCTGGGATAAGAGAACAATCAAGGCGTGTTTCTTGGAGGAAAACACTGAGTTCGATTTTGAAGGAAATAAAAGTGAATTAGGAAGTTAAATAGGAGGGCACTAAAATTTGGAAGATTCTGTAAAAAGTGACAGAGGTGGAAAGAGGTAAAAGAAAGAGAAGGAACTGTGAATGGGAGTCTTTAGAAGCAAGTTGTAACATTAATCTCCTTTCGTGGCTACCAGAGAGTCATCTTTATCTCCTTTCGTAGGTATTGGGAGCAAGGAAAAGGAGGCCAAACCCCCGCAGGAAGAGCTGAAAGGGTCGCTGGCTGCACTGCCGGCTCAGAGGTTTGGGGAAGCCGATCTCCAGGGCCCTGGACTGGGACGGGCCTGTGAGCAGGAGCCAAGTGGCTCTGAGGGTGGTGTGCCCGGGATTCCTGCTCAGCATGGCTCCATCACCATGCCTGATGACCTCAAAACTCACAACTCCTTCTGGAAGCCTTTCCAGTGCCCTGAATGTGGAAAAGGCTTCAGTCGGAGCTCAAATCTGGTTAGGCACCAGCGAACCCATGAAGAGGAGAAATCCTATGGCTGTGTGGAATGTGGGAAAGGCTTTACCCTGAGAGAGTACCTGATGAAACACCAGAGAACCCACCTGGGGAAGAGACCCTATGTGTGCAGCGAGTGCTGGAAAACCTTCAGCCAGAGACACCACCTGGAGGTGCACCAGCGTAGCCACACAGGGGAGAAGCCCTATAAGTGTGGGGACTGCTGGAAGAGCTTCAGTCGGAGGCAGCACCTGCAGGTGCACCGTAGGACGCACACCGGGGAGAAGCCCTACACCTGTGAGTGTGGCAAGAGCTTCAGCAGGAATGCCAACCTGGCTGTGCACCGGCGTGCCCACACTGGGGAGAAGCCATATGGGTGCCAGGTGTGTGGAAAGCGCTTCAGTAAAGGGGAGCGGCTGGTCCGACACCAGAGGATCCACACAGGAGAGAAGCCCTACCACTGCCCTGCATGTGGGCGAAGCTTCAACCAGAGGTCCATCCTCAACCGGCACCAGAAGACCCAGCACCGCCAGGAGCCCCTGGTGCAGTGAGGGCTCCATGTGGCAGGCAGTCTTGTCAGAGGGGTGTCGTTCATCTTATTCCCTGAAGAGTCTTGGGGCTGTGGGGCAGTGGTTTGCTGGAAGGCCCTTTGATACATTGCCATTCTACCTGTTCTCAAATGTAGGAAAAGGACAAGGCCTGGTTTACTTAGAGCTTCCAGAGAGCATAACTGCTCCCATCTCTTACCCAAGTGGTGCTCTGTTTTTCTTACCATCTTTTAGGAAAATGTTCTCCTGAGCACCGGCCCCATATACCAGGGGTGGCGGGTACAGGTTGGGGTTTTTCTCCTTCAGTGGAGTGTTCTGTTCACCTGCTGTATACAGCTAGTAGTAAAGGCAAGACTTTGTCATGTGTTGGCAGCTGGTGTCTCATTTTTTGGAGAGTTCTTTCCTACTTGCACGATCATTAGCTCAGCCTCTCGCTTTCTCCCACCTGCTCTCTTTTCCATTTGACAAATATTTATTGAACACCTACTGTGCTGCTTCCTCTGGGTGTGCAGTGGAGGAGGAGACAGACAACACCAAGTTCTCATGGAGCTTGTGCTGTGTGGTGAGGACACATGCCAACTGTCAGTAACCCAAAGTATTCTCAAGTGTGTTTGCCCTAAGTGTCGAGAGAGTGTCTTCTCTGCTTGCTCCTACCCTGCCTGCTTCTGCACTGGACCAGTGGGATCTTCTCTCAGGCAGCCTTGTTTATTTTACCTTATTTGTAGTCTCTTTTGTGTCTGGCTGTAATGTTCTACCCTCATCTTTAAAATTCTCCATTTGTTATTCCTTGCACTGTAACAACTGTCATTACATAAACTATTAGGAAATTAATATTTTGGTATTGATCACTGAATAAATACAAGAGTATTTTAAACATTCAGTTCTATAGAAATGTCTAATTAAATGAGTTTGAAAGATGAACTAGTATTAATGCCCTGTATTTGATGGTATTTTACAGTATATAGAATGCTTTTTCTATTTCTCATTTGATTCATTCCATAAGTATTTATCGAGGCTCTGTAATGTGCCAGAAACTCTTGTGGGTGTTTGAGATACATTCGTGAATAAAATGGGGGGAAAAATCACTGACCTCATAGAGCTAGTGAATATACTTTATCTTCAGAACCTGTGGATACTCCCTGTGAATCCTCTGGATCCAGGATCTGAGCCTGTACTCTTGGTCTCGTTAGTGTCTTGCCCTGAAATATGTTTGCTGAATGTTCCTGTCCTCTAGTCCCTTGTTATCTGAGACACTGGGGGTCTTTGACACCAACTGAGGATGATGAGGTGATAGTGACCTGTTTTGCATGGGTGCCAATTCAGGAAAAATAAAGATGTTTATAGGTATTTTAAAAAGTACATTTCCTTAAAAATGAGAAGATGGGGGTGGCACCTGTGGCTCAAGGAGTAGGGCACCGGCCCCATATACCAGGGGTGGCGGGTTCAAACCTGGCCACTGGCAAAAACTGCAAAAAAAAGAAGATGAAGCATTAATAACTGTTCAAGCTTCCTTATGTTATTTTGCCATCACTGGAGTATTTCTTTTTTGCTTAAAATTCAGTAAACTCTGTAGCTAGCACAGACTGCATTGTTGTGTCATTGTGTGGTGCCTTTGAACACTGGCTGCTGGGTACGTGAGTTTGTCTTTTGACAGTGTACTATAACTGCAAAATGTGGTTTGTCTCCTGGTGCCTCTTAATGTCATATTCTTTTACTGAGTTTGTTTTTGCATTTTTTTACTGTATGTAAGATAAATGGTAATGACTAACACAGAGTTCTGATACTCAGTCCACTTTGGAGCACATGATTTTGTCCTGTTTCTTAGCAAGCAATGTGTTTAATTTTGATTTAGCAAATGACCCTCCTGGTCCTTCTGGTGCATTGGTTATGCCCACGAGGCTGTGCTGACTAAGGCAGAAGTATCCCTGAGATGCACACACTGGGCTGCTGCTGTTCCTCAGCTATGCCAAGGTCCATATGCAAATCAGTTCTTTCTTTTTTTTTTTTTTTGCAGTTTTTGACTGGGGCTGGGTTAGTACCCGCCTCTGGTATATGGGGCCCTACTCCTTTGAGCCACAGGTGCTTCCCACAAATCAGTTCTTTTTTTCCCCAATTTACAGACAAGCTAGGCAAGGCTGACAACCTCCTGCTAGCCAAACCCAGTGGGAGGCTTCTGGTCTGAAGGATATAGGGCTGACTGAGTCTGAGTGTGGCCTTCTCCAGAGGTTGGTGTCCTAAGGCCAGGTAAGGACTGTGGAGGTGGGGTTGGGGAGGGGTTGTACAGATCGATGTCTGTTTTCCTGAGCTAAATTGTTGATGTTCTTTGGTCATACACTCAGCTAACAGGCCTCTAAGCCTTTGGCAAATTTGGAGTCTTTTGAGAGAAGCTCCAGTAGGAGCTGGGCCTTGCCCACTTCCCCCTCTGGCCTCTTACCCTGTCTGCTGTGACACCAAAACAATGTCTTGGACAATGTCTCCAAGAAAGCCTGAATTAAAGGGGAGTTTTCCCCATATGGAATTGTTGTAGACTTATTTTTTGTATCTATTTAAATTTTGAGAAACATTTTCTGGATTTTTTTTTTTTTATTATTATTGAGGATTCATTGAAGGTACACAGAACCAGGTTACATTGATTACTTTTGTTGGATAAGGACACTCTTACATTTGTGTCCTGCTCCCAAAAGGTTACCACACCCCTTGGCCCCCCACCCCCTCCCTCCTTCCCTTTTTAGCTTTCCTCATCCTACACTGTGTACTAGGACCTTAATTGTCCTCATATCAGAATTGAGTACACAGGCTTCTTATTTCTCCATTCTTGTCATGCTTTACAAGAATAATGTGTTCCACATCCATCCAGGTTAATAGAAAGAATCTTTTTTAGTGGCAGACTAGTATTCTATGGTATACGTATACTACAGCTTGTTAATACAGGCCTGGGTTGGTGGGCATTTAGGTTGTTTCCACATTTTGGCAATTGTAAATTGAGCTGCAAAGAATTTTTTTATAGTAGAAAATTTCAATCATAGGTAAATTAATTTTCATGTATTCATCATTTGACTTTTAACTATTACAAACTCATAGTCAATCTTGTTTTATCTTTACCCATTTTTTCCTGTTTTCCTTCTCCACTAAAGTGTTCTGAAGCATATCCCATGTGTTTATAAATATTTCAGTGTGTACCTAAGAAAGGTAGAGCTCTTTAAAGAACCACAGTACTATTATACCTAAAACAATTCAATAATTTCTTTCTTTCTTTTTTTTATTTTGAGACAGAGCCTCAAGCTATCCCCCTGGGTAGAGTGCCATGGCATCACAGCTCACAGCAACCTCCAACTCCTGGGCTCAAGTGAGTCTCCTGCCTCAGCCTCCCAAGTAGCTGGGACCACAGGCGCCCGCCACAATGCCCAGCCATTTTTTGGTTGCAGCCATCGTTGTTTGGTGGGCCTGGGCTGGGGATTCGAACCCACCACCTTAGGTATATGTGGCTGGCGCCTTAGCCGCTTGAGCCACAGGTGCCGAGCCCAATAATTTCTTAATGCCAGAATATCCAATTAATGAATTTGGATAGCCCATCTAATTTTTCTGTACTTGATGATTTGTTACTTTGTCTTCTAAGTCTTTTTTATTTCCATGTTACTTTATTTATTTTGTGAGACAGAGTCTCATTATGTTGCCCTTGGTAGAGTGCTGTGGCGTCACAGCTCAGTGTGCTGTGGCGTCACAGCTCATAGCAACCTCAGACTCTTGGGCTTAAGTGATTGTCTTGCCTCAGCCTCCCAAGTAGCTGGGACTACAGGTGCCTGCCACAATGCCCAGCTATTTTTTGTTACAATTGTCATTGTGTATCTGGTCTAGGCTGGGTTTGAACCTGCCTGCCTCAGTGTATGTGGCTGGCGCCATAACCACTGTGCTATGGGTGCTGAGCCGTCTTCTAAGTCTTTTAATCTATAGTTGTTACCCTCCTTTTTTTCCCCTTAAAGTTTCTTCATTGAAAAAGCTGGATTATGGGCAGCACCTGTGGCTCAGTGAGTAGGGCGCTGGCCCCATATACCGAGGGTGGTGGGGTCAAACCCGGTCCCAGCCAAACTGCAACAAAAAATAGCCGGGTGTTGTGGCTGGCGCCTGTGGTTCCAGCTACAAGGAGGCTGAGGGAAGAGAATCACTTAAACCCAGAGTTGGAAGTTGCTGTGAGCTGTGACAGCATAGTACTCTACCGGGGGTGACATAATGAGACTCGGTCTCAAAAAAAAAGGAAAAAAAATTAAAAATTGGATTATTTATCCTATGGAGTTTTTCAAATTCTGAATTTTTCTGTTTGTACAGCTGTGGCATTGTTTAACATTTCTCTTTCCTTTGTATTACTAAAGACTTGTAGGTGTGGAGGTATAACTAGATTCATATTTTGCATTTTGGCAAGAGCATTGATTGTTTTTATTTACATGATGTTAGGAGCCTGTATCTTTTTATTTCATTAGTCCTGTAAATGGTTCATTATTTATACTTCTGTAAGAAATTTCCCTTCCTTACTATTAGTTTACACACATAGATATAGTTCAAACAGGAAAGTTAGGATAATGCTTCATTATCTTCTTTACTTTCCTATTTTTGCAATAATCTATTTGCTTTGCTTCCTGTACAAGTGATCAGTTTTTTAAAAATCATAATGCATTTAAACATATTTCATATTGATTAATCCACTACAGTTAGAGCTTGATGCTCAAATTATTTCACTTTTGACTAGTGGGAGTCTCTTCAACTTGGCTAGTGATTCCTTTTGACACAAATCTAAATCATCGACAGCTTCTTTGCTTTCAGGTGTGACAAGATGTTCCATGCTCACCTCATAAGTTTTCTGCCCCCTTTGAGAGTGAAAGGGAGTGTTATTCATCATGTCAGGACACTGGTGTAAACTGGGACTCTACAGAGCAAACAGGGATGTTTGGTCACCTGACAGAGAAGCCTTATTTTGCATGCTGGCGCACCTGCAGTTCTCTCACATGGTGGTAATGCTGTGCACCTTTGGTGTCTGCGCTGTGCTGTTGGATGATGAGTGAGCCTGTTCCCAGAGATGTGACTTGAAAGGAAACCCTCTTTTCTGCTTTGGGTGGTGATAGAATCAGTTAATTGCCCAAGGTCTTTCCTGGGGAGTTATTTCATCAAGAAAGTTTGATCCGGCTCGGCGCCTGTGGCTCAAGTGGCTAAGGCGCTGGCCACGTACACCTAAGGTAGCAGGTTCGAATCCCCAGCCCGGGCCTGCCAAACAACAATGATGGCTGCAACCAAAAAATGGCCAGGCATTGTGGCGGGCACCTGTAGTCCCAGCTACTTGGGAGGCTGAGACAGGAGACTCGCTTGAGCCCAGGAGTTGGAGGTTGCTGTGAGCGTGATGCCATGGCACTCTACCCAGGGGGATAGCTTGAGGCTCCGTCTCAAAAAAAAAGAAAGTTTGATCCTTGTAAAAATGTGTGCCATGAGTGTTTCTGCAGGTTGATTGCACTTACTTTCAGTACTTGTTTTATCCCAGCTAAATGCAAACAGAAGCAGCCTTGTTCCTTAAAAAATCAGATGGTTTTAATTCCCTTCTTTCTCCACCCTGCAACACAGGCTGGCTTTATCCACTTCTGAGCCAGGGAAAGTAACTGGCAGCACCATGATTCTCCATAGTCTCCTTGTTCTCTTAAATTCTGCTGGGGTTTGCCAACTTCTGCATTGTCAACATTTTGTATAAGATAATTCCTTGGGGGGGCTGTCCTGGTAGTTTTGTACATCAAGGATGTTTAGCAGCATCCTTGGCCTCAGTCTACTAGATGCCAGTAACACCCTCCAGCGGTGACAACCAAAGATGTTCCAGGTAACAGCTGAAACTGATGAGTGCTTTTAACTTTGCTGCCCAACTAGTTGATCCACCAACCATTTCTATTCAGTAGTCATTGTGTTTAGACATTTGGTAGTCAAAGATGGAATAGAAGAGGCATAAGACATGTTTTGTGCCTTCAAGAAATAGGGGAGATGGAATAAACACACTAAATCTAAACTGATATTATATAAGTTCTTCATGTGAGTGTTACAAAAATAGGTGCTTCAGAAAAGGCAGAATTAAACTGTAACACTGGGTGAAGTCATTGTCACCTACATTAATCATCAAGCTGGAGTTTTGAGAAAGGCCCCAGGCCCCATAACCAGTGATTATGATGATCAAAAGTACTCAGTTGCTACTTTTCACTGGTCCTGCTGTAGAGATTGCTTCTTAATGTGCATGAAGGTATCAGAAAATATCGATACTTTTGCAAGGAGGTGTTTATTGATTTGTTCAGTATAATACTTTTTAAAGAATATAACAACTATACATATGAATGCCACTAGAGTCACCACAATAATTCTCATTTTCTTTAAAATTTATCAATGAAGTTGTTGAGAAATGTTTATTCTTTAATCAGACTTGAGGAGGAGTCAATGATCCTAAGTGGGAGTGGGTGGAAATCATCCTATAAGAACCAGGGAAGAGGAGTCCACTGGTTTAGTTACTTCATGTCACACAATATGTAGTTTTCTACACAGATACTGAGAGAGCTCCATGAATGTATGGAATCTCCAAATGTTCTTCAACTGCAGTAGGAGCAGCTCATCTTCATTTCTTGGTTTTATTCACAGAGTAAATTGGGGTGTCTGGTGTTCTTAGACATAGCTTTCTTGAAGAACAGAGCAGAAGTCCTTTGGGAAACTCAGGCTCCCCTTACAGTCCCAACTCTTGATTCAACCTTTAGAACAATGGGTTTTTCTGGTTGAAGAAATCCTTGCCTGCTTAATTTCAGGGGGATCTGCAACAGTTGAACAAGTGTATTGAGAAACAATAAAGCAAGTGAGGAAAAGGTAGAAGCAAAGTAGAAAAGATAGGTTAAGGACAACAATGCTTTGCAAACATATAAAAATTACTTTTAACACTATGTATCTTAGATTCTTTATATGTCTTTACAAACTGAGTTAAGACTGGATAGTGAAAACCTTCATCTATCCACTCAGTCAACGTACTACTTAACGGACACCCATTCTTTGCCAGGCCTGAGACAAATTCATGTTGACCTGTGTTTTTTATAATTTAATTTTTAAATAAGGCTGAATTAAGACAAACTTAAATTTGATTCTTAGGCTTTATGGCAAACTGTTGAACAGCAATGTAAAGTTAATTTTGTGTATGTTGAGATTTGCAAAGTAATCCTGAATAGGTATTAGGCATTTCAATTATGACGGCAATTCTTGGCCTCTAAAGAGTCCAGTAATCCCACCCATTGAATCATTGAGTGTAATGATGGGAAGAGGCTGCAGGAAGCTTTGCACTTTTGTTTTGTAACAGCCCCTTTTGGCTTCTTCCAAGGGTAGTGGAGGTGGGGAACTTCTCAAGTCTCACAGTGTGTTGACTAATACTTTGAGCCCAGTTCTCACTGAGACACTCCTTTAGTGTAGGGGGAACCACCAACAGAGTAACTTGATACCAGTTGCATAAGAGGCAAGAAGATTGTTATGGAGATTGAGAAGTGCCAGCTGCAGAGGTGTGCCAGAGGCCTCCTGTTTCTCCAGGTTGGACACCCTGTCTATGTACACTTATAGGATGGCTGCACAGCTGCCCCAAACCCTCTGATCAGATGGAAACCATCTTCATCATCCTCTCCCATGGTAAAGACCTATGTAAAGGGAGGAGTTGCCTATTAAATCCATGAGTCCTGGAAATAAGCCTGATAGGACCTTGTTTAATATGAATCAATGACAGCTGTTTTTTAAGTTCTTCAGAGGAAAGATTCCAAACCTTTCTATAAATACATTATTTTAAAATTTCAAATGGCATGAACATACTTCTCTGCATTTCAATATGTAGAGAACATATTTCTCATATGTCTCTATTAAGAACATTCATAGAGTTGTTATGGAGTTGAGAAGGAGCCAAGCTTGTCTGCAGCAGGGATCTTGGAAGGGGAGATCAAACATGATGGCTCTGGACGGGAGGAATCCTTTGTGTCAGAAAAAAATGCCTTAAATCACTGATGCTCAGCCTGGGTTTCATATGAGAAACAATGGGGAGAACTTTTAAAGCCATACTCTGGGCAAATTATTTTAGAATTTCTGGATGACTCAGGCATCATGAATTTTTAGAGCTCCCCAGTGATTCCAATGTATAGCCCTGGCTGAGAATCCTAGTCAGGAGAGAGCTTCTGTGGTTCTGGTGGAGGGAGCAGCACTTGATAATCACAAGGAGTCTTCACTGCCCTGTATGACTGCACAGCACTTCCCATCTCCAAGTAACTTGAATTGAAAATTGTGCTCAAATTTGGAGATTGCATGTACTTGTATCACATCTGCATTGAGTCAGGGTGAAATTTGCAGCTTGGTGTTTATATAGCCATAGGTTTAGACCTCCAGAGCTGAAGCCCCCTTATAGCTCATATGGCTTTCTTTGGCTCATTGGGCAAATTATTATTATTATTATTATTTTTGAGACAGAGCCTCAAGCTGTCACCCTGGGTAGAGTGCTGTGGCATCACAGCTCACAGTAACCTCCAACTCTTGGGCTCAAGTGAGTCTCCTGCCTCAGCCTCCTAAGTAGCTGGGACCACAGGCGCCCATCACAATGCCCGGCTTTTTTTTGGTTGCAGCCATTGTTTGGCAGTCCCAGGCTGGATTCGAACCCTCCACCTTAGGTGTATGTGGCTGGTGCCTTAGCCACTTGAGCCACAGGTGCTAAGCCATTGGGCAAATTATTAAAAGATGAATGAGCATATTCTTTTTTTTTTTTTTTCTTGCAGTTTTTGGCTGGGTTTGGGTTTGAACCCGCCACCTCCTGCATATGGGGCCAGTGCCCTACTCTTTTGAGCCATAGGCACCGCTCCCATATTCTTTTTTGTATATACATCCCTCAGTTAAAAAACACTCTCAGTAAAACATTATTTGTACAGAAAGTTTACTGACCTGTGTTTCTTCACAAGGTTTGAAGGAGAAGTTCTGCAGGACTCCGACAAGAGCAAGTTTCATGTTCATGAGAGCAAACCTCATGCCAATGCAGTTTCGGGGCCCAGTTCCAAAGGGCAGGTATATGTAAGGATCTATGCTGTCCTTGTTCTTCTTGCTGAACCTGGATCCGCAGTAGTAGATAAAAACAAGTTAATGAAACATAAAAATTACAGTAGTAACACATTAGGTGTTTTCATTTAGCCTTCCCCAACCAGTAGGTGGGGAAGTTCTTCAGAGGTGAGGTGGTCATTGAAATCCTGCTATAGTTATTTTTCTATGAGAATTATAAGCTGCGGATTCTTTTTCTCTTCCTCACCCTATAGGAGTTTTCAGGCTTGTTGAGATGAGATGAATGCTGTTTAAACAAAGGTTTATCTCTAAACTCTAAAATTATTTTCAGATGGTGATATGTTCACTCTCCAAAAGGCACATAGGAAGTGAAACTGATTGAAGGGAAAGTAGGTTCCTGCCTCACCTCTCACTTATGTTAGTCATATGCACATTGAGGAAGGAGTAGGAGAAAATAACTCACACTTCAAAAATCATTACTTTTCCCTTTCCTTCTCTTTTGTCTCTTCCTCCCCCTCCTCTTTTTCTTTTTTCTTCTTAATCTCTCCCTTTGTTTCCCCCTGCCCAGAAGAGTTTAAGTCAGATAATTTACATGGACATATGCTCCCCCACTGTAGTATAATGACTGCTTTCTTTCTTTCTTCTACTAAGCTATACATGCCTTGAAGGTTAGACCCATGCTTTATTCAAATTTGATTCTTCAATATTTGATACATTAAGGAAAAATGTTGATTTTGGGAAAGTGATAATGACATTGTGGTTATGTATTTTTAAAAAAGTCTTTATATTTTGAAGAATATTCTGAAATATTTATAGGAGACTGCTTCAAAGTAACATGGTAGTTATGGGGAGTGCATAGTTGTGTGCTAATCAGACAGCTAATGTGCGTTGATGGTTCTGGGCAGGTGATAAACACATGGATATGAATTAAAAGTATTCTCCAGACTTGTGTCTATAGACTATAGTTGTATATATGTCAAACATCCTCCTAATTTTTTTTTAGCATTTGGATTTCTCATAGCCTGCACAAGCCCCTGATACACAGTCAGTACTATCTATCTGGTGAATGAATAACTCAAAGGGAAGTACAGTGAGTGATCTCTGATTTTGTGTTTGTGAAAGTACAGGAGGTAGAAGTGCTAAGCTTGAAGGGAAGACAGAAGTCCTCTGCTTCAGAAAAAAGAGGGCTTGGTTACCTTTGATTAACTCTTTCAACAAGTATTATGTGCAGACTCCATGCTCATGTGATGGACACCAGGGACAATTGTCAGGAGCCAAATGACGCCAGATGGCCGCCCATCCCCACCGTCTAGAGTATGCTAACCTTTATCAGATAAGGAGCTGCTTTTCCCTTATCAGACAAGGAGCTGTTCTTCCCAGAAAAGCCATAAAATGTTTCAGACACATCGTTTACATTCCCAGCAGGAGATTGATGCAAGCTCTACCTCCCGCATTCCTTTGCCCCACCCCTTGTCTTCTCTGAGTGTTTTAAAAACTGACCTGTTACCCCCATTAAATCGGGCCTTGACAAGAAATCTGCCTGGCCTCTTCCTCTTTCTCGCCTATTCTCTTACAGGCTGGGTCCCCCTCGCCCCACGAATAACCGTGTCCCGCAGGACGGGACAGACAATAAGACAAAGTCCCTGCCATCAGCAGGCTTGTAGTGAGGGCTCAGTAAAAGTCTAGATTCCATCCTCCTATTTCACCAGCCAGTGGCCTAAAAACTTTAGTCTAGAATTTGCTTACCAGTGCAATAATGCAAAAGCATCAACTCTTTCCAAAGTATAAACTGTACCTAAAGGCTGACTTTGGCCCTGAATTGCTAGAAGACCAAGCTCAAGATACTCCCAGGGAGGAATGTCTGAGATCTCTAGAGAGCTGATGAATTGCTTTGGTAAAGTCACCAACTACTGAGAGCATAAGGGAACTGGCACAGAACTGTAGACACAGACAGGAGCAGGAAGACCTATGCTCTTCTGCATCCTCAATGAAGTGGCTTAAACCATCAGGGACCAAGACTTCCCAGGATCTCAGCCTGTACCTTTACAATTACCCTTAGGAAAGAAGTACTAATGTTGAACAAAATGGAATGTGGAAACATTTCCTAAAGTTGGTGGTAAATTCAGAGGCTAAAGGGAACAGTACAACAAAAGTGAAAGGATTAATAAACACATACTAAAATAAAATAGAAATTAAATGAATTATGGCATATGCATGCAAAATACATATAGTAACCTAAAATAATGAATAGTTTATTGTTTAGTCTTTTTTTTTTCTGAGACAGAGCCTCAAGCTGTTGCCCTGGGCAGAGTGCTGTTGCATCACAGCTCACAGCAACCTCCAACTCCTGGGCTTAAGTGAGTCTCCTGCCTCTGCCTCCCAAGTAGCTGGGACTATAGGCGCCTGCCACAACGCCCAGCTATTTTTTGGTTGCAGCTATCATTGTTGTTTGGCAGGCCCGGGCTGGATTTGAACCTGCCAGCTTAGGTGTATATAGTTGGCGCTTTAGCCACTTGAGCTACAGGCGCCGAGCCTTATTGTTTACTCTTAAACGAATTAAACAGAAGTGCAAACTGAAATAAATGTGATATCACTATGTGTTTTAAAAAATGTGTATATGCATAGTCCAGAAGGACAGATAACCACATAATTAATGAGGCTTATTAAGGTGTTGGGACTGTGGGTAGTTATAGTTTTCTTTTTTCTAATCTATAGTTTGTAAAGTCTGGGCAATTAACTTTTACAATAAAAATACTTCGAAAAATAGAAAGGTATATAAACAAATTACTGTACAATCATATGATTGTCATGTGCACTAACAAATATCAGAATGTGCTGGAACCAGCCTGGGTTGGGGGCTGCCTCTTCCAGGTACTTCATACCTTTCAGGACGGAACTCCTCAGGCTCTATCCAGTGCTTTGGGTCTCGGTGAAGGGCATAGGTTGGTATCATCACTGTGACCCCTTTGGGAATGAGCACTCCATTGACTTCAACATCTTTCTTACAGACCCTCTCCAGTCTTCCAGCAATTGGGAATAATCTGAGAGTTTCATTCACCACCATGTCAAGATATTCCATCTGTACCATGGCATCATAGGTGGCAGGTGCCTGAGATAAAGAAACAGATTTGGATACATAGAGATTTGGAATTAACTTTCACCTCAATCTTTGCAGTACTATGGAAGCATTAAGAGCTCTAAAGAAACTGATTTGATAAAGGACCTTAGCATTTATACGTATAAGGCATTTTATTTTATTTTTATTTATTACACTTAGCATTTATAAGTATAAGGCATTTTATCTTAGCCAAAGGCCAAGAAGCAATTTCTTTTCTTTCTCTTCCTTTCCTTTCCTTTCTCCCCTTTCCCCTTTCCTTATTTTGAGATAGGGTCTCACTCAGTTGCCTTGGGTAGAGTGCTGTGGCATCATAGCTCACAGCGACCTCAAATTCTTGGACTCAAGTGATCCTTTTGCCAGTCTCCCAAATAGCTGGGACTACAGATGCTCACCACCACACCTGGCTAGTTTTTTTATTAGTAGAGACAAGGTCTTGCTCTTGCTCAGGCTGGTCTGGAACTCCTGAGCTCAAGCAATACACCTACCTCAGCTTCCCAAAGTGGTAGGATTATAAGTGTGAGCCACTGTGCCCAGCTAGTATAAGGCATTTTCATAATTATCATGTGCTTGAGGTACTCAATTGCCTCAATGAGACATGTGGAGATGTATGGATGCAGGAAGCCTTTGGGACCACACCTTACCCAGGGACTGACATCCTGAGCTGATACCACATAGTGCCTTTTTTTTTTTTTTTTTTTTTTTTTT